TGCAATGTGTTATACATGGAACTGCCTTTGAAGATGGTCAGAAAATGCAGCTGTTGCAGAATGCAATAGCCACTTAGTCATTAATATAAAGAAGTGGGACAACTTTTTAAAGGAACATGTTGTGCAACCATGAAATAAAAAGTATTTTGGAAGAGAGATGGAACTGCAAAGTAGTTGACCAATGGATAGTTGGCTGCTCTGCACCTCATCCCTTTTAATTGAACAAACTTGAAACTTCATTTCTAAAATTAAGGATTGTGTCAGACCTTCAAGTAAACCTTATTGAACTCAATAGGACTCAATTCTGAGCAAACATAATAGTGTCAGTCTGAGTGGGTGTATCTTTATCAAGAAGCAAATTTCACTGAATACTGTGGTGGCAGAAGATCGCATTGTTAGGGAGAAGCACTGACACCACACCTGAGTGGATCGCTACCGCAGTGTCCGCAACATGCATCAGAGCCCCACAACACACTCTCTCACACACAGATTTAGCAGCAATGCCAGTGAACATGTCACTCTGTCAGCTTGCCATACTTTTCAGCAGCAGTACTTTGGAAAGGTGATCAAGCAGCCATTTTTGTCACAGCTCCAGCAATGCAACACACATTTGGCTCTCATCACAAATGTGTTTGTCACTTAGGGGTGTACTCACTTTTGTTGCCAGCAGTTTAGACATTAATGGCTGTGTTGCATTTTGAGGGGACAGCACATTTACCCTGTTATACAAGTTGTACACTCCTTGCTTGACATTGTAGCCAAGTGTCATTTCTTCAGCATTGTCACATGAAGAGATATACTAAAATACTTATGAAATATGAGGGGGTGTACTCACTTCTGTGATATACTCTAACTAGAACAGAATACCAGCAAATAGCTTGAATCTGCAAGGATCGATTCAGGAGGGCTAAGGATCAGAATGAGCTAAGACTTACAACAAAAGCCAAAGATAACCAAAAAAAAGTTTATTTCAACACATAAGAAGAGGAAAGTGAAGGAAATGGTTGGTCCACTACTGGGAAAAGATGACAAGAAGGTGACAAGCAACAGGGAGAAAGCAGAACTGCTTAACTTTCTTTCTTTATCTGCATTTATGCAACATTGACCCACTCTGTCAAAAGGAGCACTGTGGGAGACAGGAGAGGGAAGCAGGTCAAAATAGATAAGGAAGTGGTAAAAGAACACCTAGCTGCTTTGAATGAGTTCAAGTCTCCTCGACTGGATGGTTCACATCCCAGGGTACTAAAAGAATTGGCAGATGTGGTCTCGGAGCCACTCAATGAAATCTTTGAGAGGTCCTGGAGCACTGTCAAGCTGCCAGAGGACTGGAGAAGAGCTGATGTGATTCCAATCTTCAAAAAGTGGATCCAGGAAACTACAGACCTATCAGCTTGACAGCAATACCTGGGAAAATCCTGGAAAAAATAATCAAGCAGCAGATAAAAGTCCGCATAATCAAAGCTATGGTTTTCCCTATAGTGATGTATGGGAGTGAGAGCTGGACCTTAAAGAAGGACTGATGCTTTTGAATTGTGGTGCTGGAGGAGGCTCTTGAGAGTCCCCTGGACTGCAAGGAGATCAAACCTATCCGTTCTGAAGGAAATCAACCCTGATTGTTCACTGGAAGGACAGATCCTGAAGCTGAGGCTCCAATACTTTGGCCACCATGAGAAGAGAAGACTCCCTGGAAAAGACCCTGATGTTGGGAAAATGTGAAGGCAAGAGGAGAAGGGGACGACCGAGGACGAGATGGCTGGACAGTGTTATCGAAGCCACCAACATGAATTTGACGCAACTCCGGGAGGAAGTGGAAGACAGGAGGGCCTGGCATGCTCTGATCAATGGGGTCATGATTAAACGACTAAACAACAACAAAGAAAATAACAAGGTGATTACTAGAAGCCAGCATGGGTTTGTTAAGAACAGGTCATGCCAAACAAATCTTACTGTCTTCTCTGATAAAGTGACTAAACTAGTGGACCAAGGAAACACAGTGGATATAGTATACTTAGACTTCAGTAAGGCATTTGACAACCTACTTCTGCATAAGGTAGAACAAAGTGGGATAGACAGCACAACTACCAGATGGATTTGCAGCTGGCTGACTAACCACACTCAATGTGTTGTCCTCAATGGAACCACACCTACGTGGAGGGAAGTGTGCTGTGGGGTCCCTCATGGTAGGCCCAGTTCTCTTCAATATCTTCATAAATGACCTTGATGAGGGAACTGAAGGAGCTCATCAAATTTCCTGATGACACAAAGCTGGAGGGAATTGCTATTACTTTGGAAGATGGACTCAACATTCAGAAGGATCTAGACAGACTTGAACATTGGGCCCTATCCAATAAGATGCAGTTCAGTGGCGGGAAAGGTAAGATCCTGCACTTACACAGGAGAAACCAGATGCACAGGTAGAGAATAGGTGGTAGCTGGCTAGACAGTAGTACCTGCGAGAGGAATTTAGATATCCTGATGGACCACTGCCTAAGGATGAGTCAGCAGTGTGCTGCAGCTGCCAAAAAAGCCAACACAATTCTAAGCTGCATCAATAGGGGGATAGCCTCAAGATCACGGGAAGTGATAGTACCACTCTAAACCAAACTGTTGAGGACACGCTTGGAGGGCTGTGTCCAGTTCTGGTCACTACAATACAAAAAAAGGCACTGAGGCCGTGAAAGGCGTGCAGAGAAGAGCAACAAAGATGACAAGGGGACTGGAGACTAAATTCTATGAAGAATGGCTAAAAGAACTAGGTATGTTTAGCTTAACGAAGAGGAAATTGAGGGGAGACATAATAACAGTCTTCCAGTATCTGAAGGGTTGACACAGGGATGAGGACATTGATTTGTTCTCCATTGTGCCTGAGGGTAGGACAAGAACCAATGGGTGGAAACACATCAGAGGCAGATCCAACCTGGAAAAAGGAGAAATTTCCTGACGATGAGAACCATTAAGCAGTGGAACAGCTTGCCTCCTGATTTTGTGGGTGCCCCATTGCTGGAGGTTGTCAAGAAAATATTGCACACCCATCTGTCTGGAATGTTATGAGGTCCGAGATGGTATGAGTGCGGTTAGTCAGCCAGCTGCAGGGGGTTGGACTTGAAGACCTCCAACAGCCCTTCTAAGATTATGATGATTCTATCATTAGATTCTATCAGATGTTGACATCTGAGTGCTCAGCCTGGAGGCAGGCGTTATAGCATGGCATCTCCCAATTTGAAGAGATGCTTGTTCAGCAGGCCGAGGCAAAGAGGCAGTCCCGAAACCAGCAAAATCAGGGAGCTGAACAGGGGACAGATTGTATTTGTCTTCAGTGTGGAAGGGATTGTCACTCTCAAATTGGCCTTCTCAGCCACACTGGACGCTGTTCTAAGTCCTTTATTCAGAGCACGTTACCATAGTCTCTCGAGACTGAAGAATGCCTACAAATGATCACAGGATATATGCCATGTGACCACAATGCATGACTATACAGGAAGCAGGAGATGCGAGAAAGAAGGGAGACATTTATCTTGTGACCACAGCCTCAGACTGGCTTAAATTCATGAGCTAGTTGTCAAATGGTAGTCTTTTTCCTTTGTCCTGTATTTTGAAGGAGAGAGTCATCAGCACTCAGAGAAGAAGCCACCCACTTCTTCCGCCCCTGGTAAATAAATCACTAAATCAACACAGACCAGAAGTGGGCAATCTCCAAGAGTCTGTGGTGACACTTACCTCTCCATGGAGGACTAAACACCCCATGTAACTTGTTGCCCCCTCAAACCACCTTCCCCAAATTAGGGGAAAGAGGAGAATTTTTTATTCTGCCTTCAAAAAAGTCCAAAAGATGGATTTTATAAAGGGCAACTGAAAGAACATATGGCTCATCTCTTTTTCATCACAGGTCTCCAAGAAACAGCAATTAAAATGTCTCTGTGCCCGAACTCAAACATGGCAAGAATGGATCCTGAAAATTGGTTTTTTCTGACAGGATTTGGAGCTAATTGAAAACTACGTGCTCAGGGATAAGTGGGCACCCGTTCTTAAGATATCTTGGGTCTTGGGAGTTTGTCTTTAGGAGTGGTCTGACCATGGTCTCTTTAAATCAGCCCTCTCACAAGGAGGCAATAGTAAATTTTCTAACCAGCTGTTTTTGCCTTACAGATTCAATAAAGGCAAGGAGGACAGCGGTACCATATACAGGCAGTTAAACCTGAACAAGCACCACATTTGGTCTTACCCACCAGCTTAAATTCATCCAAGAAAATGGGGCAAGATAGTGGTGTGGATGCCTGTGGACCGGTCACAGAGCACACAGTGAGCGGGTTTTTAACAAATAACCCCCCAAAAACTCCACTGACTGGCTGGAAGTGCAAAGAATTCAGAGAAGTACGATATAATAGTTGAGCTGACACAATTGCTTCTGAGCACCTCTGCCACTGAGCTCAGAAAGTCATCTGTCCACTCCACAGATGGACTGGATAGTTATCAGCTGGAGCCCCATGCCTGGAAATATCAGATCAGATGTCTGAAATCAGTAATAAACTTGAATTCCATACATCTCAAAACTTCATGCAATTATATTGGATTGTGTCCTGCTTTAGACTACAGAGTTTAAGTAAATTCTGGGCATTATTTTTGGCCCTTTGAGAACAATTTAAGAACAAAATCTCCAAGTGTCCCTAAATTTAGGGGTGTTTACTTGGTAATATAATGTTGCATAGTAAAACCAGAAGGGGTGGAGTAGAGGCCAGGAGTAGTCTATGCATATGAAAACAATAACCATGTAATATTTATTGTCTGGGATTGAAATGTTTCAAATATTCAAGGTAATAAAATGTCAGGAAAAGCTTGACTTCCTGATGTAAAGAAGGCTATAAATTTCTTCGTTCATCAAGCACAAGGTAGAAGAAAACTCAATGATGTTTTATGATAAGCAAAAAAAAAAAAAGTTTAAAAATGAAATCAAGTTTTGAGCTGAAGCAGCACAGAGCCCCCCGAGAGCACAAGGGATTTACCTTTGGGAGTCTGAAGGAAGCAAATGGCAGCCAAGTGCACAATCCGTGTATAATAAAATTCAAGTAAATTCCAGCTATAATTTCAGCAAGCAGTGAGGTATTTTTTCAGCATTCAACTCTAACAACCAATACCACCCCTGCAAAAGACATGAGTGTCGTAAAAAATACTGTTGTTCTCACTATACAAATCAGAAAATTATTTCAAGTTGTTTTGTTTTGTATCTTTTCAAACATTTGCATTGAATTGCCCTTTAAAGTGCACCTTTTAAAAAACTCTGTTTAATTCCAGACTAGTCTTGAGCCTTTGGGGGCGGTGGAGGGGAAACTATCATATGGCAGCAAGTATAATACTTTTCAACCAGCCTCAAACATGAACTCAGTGTTTATTGTTGGATCCCCTCAAAATTACGGTAGATCATGATTTTAAATCCCACCTGCAGTGCCATGAAAGGTAATCCGAATGGGGTCTTGGTTTTTGAAAAGCCAGGGCTGATTTTTGGACTCTGTGTTAATGAACTAGAATCCATGATCTTGTTTTATAGGAGAATTTGTTTTTCAGAGAACTATGTCTAAAAATTATCTTCTCAACATTACAGAATGAGCTCTTATGACTCTCCTCCTGCCTATCTCATTACTTTTAAAGTAGACTTAGATGACAAAGAGAGAAAATTGCCCACAGGGTTGCTGGAATCAATGGGAAGTGAAACTTGAATCTCCCAGGTCCAAGTCTAGCATTCTAAAATTACTCACACCACACGACTACACACTAAGGCTGGAAAAAGAGGTTACCTACCTGTAATCTGGTTCTTTGAGTAGTCCTCTGTGAATTCACACTAATCTGTGGCTGAGCAGAGCAGTCTTCGGTAACTTCCACAGCTTTAAGCCCTTAGTGCCGGGACCTCCCCTACACCTGGCTATATATCTCCGCCTCCGGCCCAGTGCTTCAGTTCTTAAAGAACCGACCGCTGCTGCCCAATATGCCATAGCACACATGACGGACAGTGGGGAGGAGGGCGGGACGTGTGAATTCACAGACGACTACTTGAAGAACCAGAGTTACAGGTAGGTAACCTCTTTTCTCCTTTGTGTCCTCTGTGAATACACACTAATGGGTGACTGGCAAGCTGACAAACCAGGAGGAGGGATGTCACGAAACTGCAGAAGCCAGGACAGCTCACCATTAAGCTGGGCAACCTAGTGGTAGGGCAAGATGAAGGGAGACGGAGTGGCACATGTGGCAGTGCAGCAGACATCCGCGGCGTCCACTTGACAAAGAAAGGCCATTGAGGATGCTACTACTCTAGTAGAGTGAGCTCTCACTGATCTTGGAAGAAGAGTCTGTGCCAAACCATAGGGAAGGCGGATGGTCTGGACTATCCAGCTAGACATGGTCTAAGAGAATGTCAGTGCTCTAAAGCAGTGGCTCTTAACCTTTGTTACTCGGATGTTTTTGAACTGCAACTCCCAGAAACCCCAGTGAAGGCTTCTGGGAGTTGCAGTCCAAAACTCCTGAGTAACCCAAGGTTAAGAACCAGTGCTCTAAAGGAAAGCCAGCAAAAGTGACAGAGAAACACTGTGAGGCCCAAAAAGTGGTAGTGTGATGCACATAATACAGTGGACCCTCTACTTATGGAATTAATCCGTATTGGTACAGTGGCTGCAGGTCAAAAAGTCTGTAGGTCGAGTCTCCATTGACCTACAATTGCAGGTCCCGGGAGCGGGATCGAGAACCAAGGTAGCGACGCAACCAAGCATGACGTTTGCACACCCATGGCAGGCTTGAACGACCAGCCCTGAAAAGGGGGAAAGGTTGAAATCTGTGTAGGAGGCCCCATGCCCCTTAGTCAGGAAGGCGCCCCCTAAGGAGGTGCGGCCGACACCAGCTCAGGAGCGGAACATGGCACACTACTAGTTTGGTCGAGGTGCAAAAGCATCCCTGTCTGGAGAACCCCATCAATGACAGAGGCAACGAAAGATGCAACAGTCGAGGGCCCACTCGTGTATAGCCACTGGATAAATGTGGCGAGCATAACACCGTTCCGAAGTAGGCGTAACTAGAGAGTGCCGCCCTGCGTGTTCATACAAGAAACTGCAGCGGTCTCGACTGATGTGACCTGGACCACCTGACTCCAGACCAGGGACTCAGAGGCCCAAAAGGCCTTAGTGAGTGCCAGGAGCTCCAGCACAATAATATACAGACTGGTTATCATCATGGATCAGCAGGCAAGGGCAACGTGGTGGCGTAGGCAAGCCCCCCACAGCCTAGCAGGTATCAGCTACTGACCAAACTAACTGGGTCAAGAGACCAAAGGGTCTCCCTAACTGTAGTGTGTGTGTGGGGAGCGTCCACCAATCCAGGTGAGCAGCGACTGAAAGACAGAAAGAATTCAGGATTAAAGGGACTGCAGCCTCAGTCAAGCAGGCTGTCCCAGAGCTACAGAAGATGCCATCAGTCCAAGGAATTGCCGGACTTGTAGGGCAAGGAACCACGTGCCTGAAGAAAAAAAAAGAAGCACGACAGTCAAACATTGCCACAAACTTGTTGTCAGGAGAAAATCCTGCTATAAGAAAGCATCCAAAGGCATATTAATACAATTTAAACCATGTGCAAGGTACAAAGTCAGCTTCACTATGTTGACCTATAGTCCTCACGTTGGTCAACATAGGGACAGTGCCCAGGATGTGCGCTCACCAGCCTGTGGTTTGGACTGCGTGACCAGGAGTCAGTGAACCAACCATGGGTAAACAGTGATTTCCCCAACTGAAAACCAGAGAAAGTGGTCACGGTCCAATCAGTTGCCCACTTGAAAATGAGCATCTTACAATAAATCAACCCCCTGGACGTAACTAGAGGATAATAGAGTCCAAGGAAGCCAAACAGGAACTGCATAGAGTCATAAAGAATTCAGGCTCCAAAATCAAGGATGGGTCAGAAGCTTCCATCCTTCTCTCTCTCTCTCTCTCTCTCTCTTGTTTTTTTTGGTGGGGGTTGGGGTGGAGGTGGCCATGACAAGGCCTGTGACAGGGGGCATATTGAAGATAGTGGCAAAGCTGGTAGCTACAATAGAAAGTACTGGTCAACAACAGAGAAGTAAAAAGACCACTCAGTTTCACAGTCCTACCTGTAATTCTGCCAGTCAGGGCACTGCCTGCTCACATGTCTAGGGCCAGCGGCTGGTAACTTTGGGGTTGAGGCTTTAACGTTCCTGGAATACCGTAGGCTGATGGGATCATCTTCAGGCTCTTGCAGTTGTTACGGGCGCCTAGAGTGGTCCTAATCCGACCAGATAGGCGGAATGAATGAATGAATGAATGAATGAATGAATGAATGAATGAATAAATAAATAAATAAATAAATAACTGTGTCGCCTTCTACAGCCTGAGCAGGTTTTCAAGAATAACAACCGTTTTCTGACTAAAAGCCATACACCAATAAATGGCAGGTCCTAACCCGTCAGTTGTTAGATGCTGGTTTTAAGGTGTACTGAGCAGCAGTGCACTCATGATGCACCTGCAACAGTGCCTCCTAGTGATGTGGAAGGCCTGAACTGTACGCGTGCACAGGAGCTACGTGCAGGGTGGGCAGAACCAGACTCCATAAGTGGTGATAAGCCCCCATGCCAGAAGAGTACATGGCTACACGGCAGCCAAAAACAAATAACACCGACCAAAGAACTCCTCATCTATTAACAGTAAAGGAGTGTGACTATCTGCGACAACTGAGAGGGGTGTAGGAAGATTGGTTGAAAACTCTTCCACCCCCATGACTCATGTGAGTCCCGATACTGAACGAGCCTGACCAAGCACAGGCTCAACAGTTGTAGAACGGAGAAGGCCAAATGGGTTAACAGCAGGTTCGGTCAAAGCTGCGAACATTATGCTACCGTAGCCGAGATCGAGGGAACACTACACCTGTGAAGCCTATGTGGAGGCATAGCCCATGGCTCAGAACGATGCCAGGTAGAGCGGAATGGCAATGGTGGCCAAGAGCTCATAGCTCCTATCCCATACAAAAGGGACTGGTCCTACACAGCCTTGTCAGCGTGATAGGACCTACCTGACAAAATTACCCAGGCCTACCTGACAGCAGCAGGGTTCTCGGGTGGATACATGTGAGTCCTTTCCCTATGAGCCTATGTGGCCACTGGCAGCTGAAACAGGGCCACAGGCTACTTTGTGAGTGAGCCCATTGATAAAGAAGGCTGTTTTGTGCCAAATTAACAGCCACCAGCAGGTGCTACCCCAGGCAGGAATATCACCAACTAGCAGGGCTAGTGGTGGGAGCTGCAGCCGCCCCCCCTTTTCAAAGGCAGAACTAGGGCTGTCAAATGCTGCCAGAAAGCTTTTGCCTTGGCACTTAACTGATTCTGGAAATAGCAGCCGCGTGAACAAGCCCTTTGATAAATAAGGGCCATTACACCAAACACCCAAGGGTGTTACCCCAGACAGGCAAAGCGCTGACACACAGGGCTAGCTGCAGGAGCTGAAGGGGCCCATTGTATCCCCAAAGGGAAAATCAAGCCTTACCATATGTCGTCGGCACATCTACAGCCTCAGCGTGCCGCTCCCTCCAGAAGTCGCAGCTAGATGAGCAGCCACACGAAGGAGGGTTGATTTATATAACATCAAAACAATAATAAATTAAGGAATCTTTCAGTGGTCTCCCTTCCACTGGTTTGGATAAAACACATTGTGTTTTCCTAGTTTTAAGTCTTCACAATTCACATTCTGGTGATTAGTTTAACTAAAAGGCTGCTGCACTGCCAGATTTACCAGGTTATCTGCAGCTACCAAAACCAGAAGAATTGGTGGAGGAATGGTGCAGTGTAGTGTGTATGAGAAAGAGTGCTCCATCATATGTTGCATGGGTACAAGAAAATGGCTGCAGCCTACATGTTATGTTCATGTGCTTTTCTGAGTGTGAGAGAATGACTTTTGTTTTCTTTTGCATTTTTATGTCTTCTGAGGTGGCAGGGCGAGACACACACGCAGCAGCTCTTCCTCTTAGACATATGGAGGAGACATCCAGGAACTCCACACGAGTTTAGCAAGTTACACCGATCCATTATTACATAGTTCCAGAATAAGACAGAGGAAATTCTAGGCTATCTGAAAGCATATGAGGAAGC